TATATATATATATATATAAAATACTAGATTTCTTATTTAAATTTAAGAATAAAATTTTTATGAAATGATATAAAATTTTTAATTATTTATTTATCTCATATTTATAGAAGTAAACTCTTTAATACATGAAATTCAAATGCACACAGAATAAAAGAGGCATATAACAACAGTATTTGATAAGTTCGGTTTTAGAAAGATATGCGATGTATTCAACGTATAGTTGAAAAGTAATGATTTGCATTGAATTGCAATGCAAGTAATTATCTGATCAAAAAATTTCAATATCTTGTCACCGTGAATTATTTAAACGAAAAGAAATTAAGATTAAATGCGATAATGCTTTCTGATTTTAGTACGGACAGCGGCTGGGATAATCCGTTCAGACCGGATGGCGATCTCTCCCGGGAAGCCGATGAGATCGTCGAACTTATAAAGGGTGGGAAACCGATCACGCCGACTCCGGGTCAGAACGCGCCGCCGTTACCAGGATGCGATGGCAAATCAGGTGATTCGAGTACCAGCCCGCTTCTTAAATCTGCGAATTGTCACGCTAACTCGTCACCGAGGCCCGGTCAGGAGAATGGTAGTGCACGAAGTGGCACTCCTTCGAAAACTGCCGGCAACCAACCTGTTAACGAAAAGGTGAGGTGTTGACGAAAAGGATGTACTCACTGCTCGATACAATGACTTGTTCAATTTTTACTTCTAACGCTAATTTTTAATTTGATAGTACAATGTTTGTATTTAAATAAAAAATAAATACATTAAAAAATCTCTAAGAGTCGATGCAAGATATTGTTGCGAATTATTTATTTTATATAATAATACAACAAATGGTTTACGTTTTGATCTATACTGGAAAAATATTTGTAATTACATAATTATGTTGGGTTTTTTTTAATATTGCAATGGAAAATTACAGATTATATTAATTTTACATGCAATATATATTTATAAGATTCCATTGAACATGAAATTTTACATACAAAATATAAAATGTAAAGGCGGACAGACTTATTAGCCACTTTGCTTCGTCCGTTGTTTTCTAGGCACGTTAAGTTTACAGATTCTGATTGGCTACAATAACATGATGTCCAGCAAAATCTGACTATTTAATTCAGGGATAATTCCAGGATATTCTAGGTAAAAATGTTGGTTTTTCCAGGATTTATATCCATCGATTAATTTTCATTATTTAATTAATTTTCATCCTAATCATGGATCGGAGCGTAACCATTTGTTGTATTATATAAAATAAATCATAAAATTCGTAATAATATCTTATGGCTCTTAGAGGCTTTTTATTTATTTTTGATTCATTTTTTTAGTGACACAATTTTATTAATTGTTCATATTTAAAGTTTGAAGGTCTGCCGAATTAAACTTGAACATTATTAGATACGAGAATCAAGACAAAAACGAAGATAAGTTAATCAGCCATTCGTAATGATGTCTGGTTCAGGTCGGCGCGTCTCGGACCGCAACGGTGGAAGTTGCGAGGATGACGGCGCAGGGCCCGGGCGACGCGTCACAGGTTGAGCACGTCACTCTGAAGAAGAAGCCTAAGTGCAAGTGCTGCGTGCTGCAGTAATGACCGCGCGACGGAGCCAGCGGGGACGCGCACGAGAGACGATCCTCCTCCATTATCGGGAGCGTAACTTCAGCTTCGTGGCTATTGAAGAAATCACGACTGGGCAACTCGAGGTATCGAGGACGCATCGATGAAGAAGCGACTCGAAGAGGATGCCGGAACAGGAAAGCGCCGGCATTCCAAACACGCTCGAGACCTAGAGAACCGGTCCAGAAGGTAATTTCTCAGAGGGAGAAAAAGGTTTCGTCTTTAAAGAATGTGAAGAAAGTGGAACGAAATATTGGAAACGATGAGAAAATGAAGAATATGATTGGATATACGAGAACATCAGATTGTTAAAAATCTGAAAAAAATGAAACGAGCAGCAAGTCAAACAAGATGTTAAAGAAGCTTCTTGTATCTTTCAATCATGAAGAAAAGGGAAACAAGAAAGAATATTTTAATGGTAACAAGAGCAAATTTAATCGGAATATGAAGAAAATGAGGTAAGAGGCTATCGATTCTTGTTGAAGAGATTGGAATCTCTCTTAAAATGCTCTGGAACATGAAGTTAACCCTTACCGTGGAAGATTGGACTCTCGCCAGGCTATCTCTGGCTTTCAAGCACGGAAAAGAGGGATCCACGTGGAGGATGAGACAAGGAACGTCAGTGCGCGAACATTGAACCGCTTTTCGAGAGACAATGATATTTTAATGATGTCACGAGAGAGACCAGAGTTAGGAAAGAAATGGAAAGAGAAAGAGAAAGAAAAAGAAATATATATATATATATTATACATACAAAACTATATTGTAGATACAGAATGGTAGCTGTATAGCTTATATGCTTTTACTATCGTGGTTAATAATCATCAAGATTATCGTGATTTAAAAAATGCATCGTACGTAGAGCGAGAAAGGAAAAGAAAGAATGTGCGAAAGAAAGCGCGAATGTGAACAAGAGAGAAAGGGAGGGATGATGATGAATAATATGATTATATAGGTGGGAAGAGTGTGCGCAACGAGGCATGTAGGCTGCGTTTAGAGAGCGCGTTATCAGTGTTATTTGTATCATACTATCCTTACACGTTCTAATGGATGATGAGGATAGAATGACACAAATAACGCTAATAATGTCTCCCCAAACGCAATTGTAAAGTTCCGCGGGACGTCATTCGTCCGTTAGATCTCGATGCGAACAGATATATCACCGTTTCTGAGGAAGCTAACTTGGCAGCTTTGATCAATCTTTCTTTGCACTGCGAAGGATATTCAACGCGTCGAACATCACTGTATACAGAGGGAGTGTGCCAAATATACCGCATGCTCATTCGCATCTACAAATTTCTTGATCAGTTTGGATCAGTTTTCCTTCAGTGTCACATTGTACCGTTTCATAGGTGCAACACATGTATGGCATATCCAACTCAACTTTGATTATTTATAACTTTTATAAAAATGAATACATTGAAATTTAAATTTTATTAAACATAATTAACAACTTTTTTTCAATTAAAAGGATACAACAATATCAAACAAATGTATGTATCTTTATTAGTAAAAAAGTTATGAGTAATATAAAGTAAACAGAAAAAAATCATTTTGAAAAAGCTGGATATGCCATATCAAAAGTGGTATTGAAGAGTTAATAATTTTACGCTTTATTTTTAATTGCTTCTAATTTAGAAATTAACTGATATGTCGTCTATGATCGAGAGAGAGTACGCAGTTTTTGGCACTCTGTACAATAGATAAGCGTTTATTTTATTAAAGTGGTTCTTTAGTAAAATACCGAAAATTTGAGGCACTTTATCAGTACCCACTCAAAATCACAAATATCTTCATAATTTGAATAAAATGTTAAAATTACATGTAAAATATTTTAATGAAATAGTATAAAATACATAGTATGCAAAAAATGATGAAATAAAAAGAAGTTAATTTCTTGTAAAATTTTCCAGATAGCAGTCTCGTTTCAACAAAATCGGACAAATCTATGATTGCTTATGATGTCGGCAATTTTGTCATAGATTTGTCTTCAACGATTTCGAATATATTCATTGTAGCAATGCTACTTAAGTTGTTTTATATGACAATTTGGTATCGTTGAATTACATTGTAAGCGAGGTTTTTATATCGTAATTTTTTAAACTTTAGAGAAGTGGTAATATTTGTGTGCATTTAAAGAAGCGTCCCCGATTCTTACGTGGTACTGAGTTATACGTTAAAAGTTACATTTTTAATATTTTTTCTCTCATTTCATCATTAACCTACCTAAGAATTTTGCACACATATATCAAATTCGGTATTTCGACTTTATTATAAGAAGTTAAACATTTCTATAGTAATTCGATTTACTAAAGAACTACTTTAAATGCATCGAAGAGTTCCGTAGATAAAATTTCTCTCTTCTTCCTCATCTATCATTTTATACAAAATTCTATGAAAAATTTATTCTATTGCCTTTTTCTTTGTTTATCTTTGTTTCACTTTTTAAAAATTCATATTTTACATGCAGTAAGAGGCATTAATAATAGGGTAGAAATCAAATATTTCTTTCTCATTTTACATTGAATGTATTCTGAAAATAAAATTCCATTTGAATGATTTTTCAAAAATGTTTTATCGATAAAGATAAAAATATTTAAGATCCTTATTGATCGTTAATTAGTTATTGTATTTTGAGACATTGATCATAAATCATTAATGAAGGTTTTCATAAAATTAAAATATAATAATGCTAATTGCAATAAATATTGTGGAATGTCTTTTCATATTTATCAATTTGTTAAATTTATGTTGTTCGCGAGTGATTATAGATTTCATTAGAAATTTTATTTATATATTTATATTTGTGTCAGAAATGGTATAATGAGCTTTCTTCTTAATTCATGTTTTCTGAAATCTTTAATGCTAGCCTCATAACTAGTATCTAATGATAAGGCAGCTAATTGATGATAGTGTTCCCAATTTTATCTGCGGAGCTCTAAAGAAAGAGAATTATTTTTCGCGCAGATATAAATATCGTTAAACGCGTTATTGCTCTACAAGGATCGAGTCCTAAAAATCTTCACGCGTGTGTCTCTTTTAGAACAACTGTTGGATCAGTTAATTACCCTCGAATCGGTAAGTCCGCCCTCAATTTTGTCCGCCACAATGCGAAATTAATCCCGAATCCTTTTTTATAACGATCAATTATATATATGTGAGATTTTTTATCGTAACGAATTATGCAAAATATTCGACTTGATTGCAATTTTGTAACAAAAAATTGGCAGGGAATAAGAGAGAAGAAGTTATTCTTCTTCTGCGGTTAATCATGATGAACAGAATTGCGCCTTTTTGAACATGTCAAGGATTCGAACTTGAACCTCGTCATGTTTCATCGAGTACCTAAGTGCATTTCGTTGATTATTATCATGAGCGTCGCCAGAATTTTCCATAAGGGCACACAGAATTGTTAATTATCTTTCAAAATATAAAATCTTCGTTAGAATTACACACACACACATACACACATACACACACACACGCGCGCGCGCGCGTATAGAGAAAGAGAGGGTGTTTTATTTCAAACGTAATGGAACAAATATAGAAAAATGTTTGGGAAATGATGAAAGATATGGATAAATGTTTCAAATGAAAGTTGTATGGTCTGGAGGGACGCAAATATTAATAAAATTGATTTTCGAAAAAAATCAATTTTTCAATGTCATATGGAGGTTACTATCATTTTATTTTGTTAAATTATATAATTTTTTATATAAAATGATTCCTCTAATTATTCCGCATGTAAAAGTATTATGGTAAAGTTATAAAAAATCAATAGTTTAAGAAATATTTTATACTTCATTCTGACACATATTGACATGAAATATTAAATATTTCGTAACTATTAATTTTTTAATAATCGTACTTTAATATTTTTATGAATAAAATAATGAGCTGTATATAGACAAAATAGATAATTTTTTTAATAAGCAATTACGTATTTTCTTTATGCTTGATTCATCTCATTATTTTGTTCATAAAGATATTAAAGTATGATTATCAAAAAATTAATTCATGAAATATTTGATATCAATATATAGGTGTCAAAATAAAGTAAAATATCTCATAAACTATTGATTTTTTTATGTCTCTATCTTAATACTTTTATATGCAAATTAATTGAAGGAATCATATTATACAAAAAGAAATCTCACAATTCCATTATAAAAAATGGATGTGAAAGTGATTCATATCTCTCTAGTGACATTCTTCATGTCTTTTTGACACTTTTTTTAGAAAAAAAACAACATGGCCAAAATACATCTTCCTTGAAACCGTTCAACTTTTATCTGAAATATTTTTTTATATCTTATATATTTTTCAAGATATTTTCATATTTACTTGAGGAAATTAAAATGAAACTCTGCATACGCAGAAGAATGTTTTATTATTAAATCGAAAAAATTATAATTTTTTTCATTGTCTTGTACCATTAATGGCGTAGTATCTGAAATTCTGAATTAAAAAATTTTATTTAATTCTTTTTTTCGCCTTTTTTCAAAAACTCAGAGCGTGCCTCTCTGCATTTTTCTTACGACGCCCATGATTTTTACGTACCTGCGTTAATGAGTTCCGCGTTCGATCGGAGCGAGCTGGTACGAAATATTATAAATTATTAAAAACTCACGATTACAATGAGCCTTAAATTATATAATTTAAATTTTATAAATACGAACAATTGGTTCCAAATTAGTCACAGAATCTGTCGTTAAAATGTATAATTTGATCAAAACGCTTTAACAGCCCAGCTTGCTCTAATCGGCGGCGAAGCGGAAGTGCCGGGAAAAAGGAGCACTATTATTCGAACGGTATTGAAGATACTATTTTCTTAATTAACAAGCCGGTCGAAGAAGGAAACTCGGCGCCTTCCCACTTCTGCGGTGGCGATTTTTAATGGACGAAAACAATTTATTGTGCGAACTAGTCGAAGGTATCGGGAGGTATTAACTCTTCGTGGCGGCGATTACACAAAGTTTTTTGTATTATAATTGTTTTAAAATCCTAGTTGCGTATATATCTATATATAAGAGATAATTACAAGAGGGTGAATATTGCATCAATGCGTGTAAAGTACGACGCTAAATCTGTTTGAAATTCTTTTTAATTTTAAATTGTAAAATATGTCCCTTTCTAAACAATATCAATAATTTATATCGAATAGTACAACAGTGTTGTAACAAGTATCTTTTGTAAGGCATCTAAGTATAGATCCTCTGTGGAAAAAGTACCTAATGACAAGTATACATACATTTTTTAAATTATCTAGATATAGATACAGATACATCAGTAATATCTGAAAGATTTAGTTATTTTTTAGATATTTCTTACAAAAAAAAACTGCATAAAGGAATTTTATTTTGCAAACTATTACTTATGTAGTACTTATATAAATGTTTGAATAATTGTTATTTGTCATGCTTTTTATAACAGTAGTGTATTGGAAAGTCGATTTCTTTTTGGGATTAAAATTATGTTTACAATATAATGACATAATGTATAGATCAATTACGTATATACATAGACCAAGAATTCTGTTCGTAGCTTGAAGCCGGAAGATGATAGTGTGATAGGATCTGTAATCTCGTTACGTCTCTTTCTATCTTCAAAGAAAGAAGAGATAGCATGGAACCTCAACGTCATTGAAGTCAATCTTAAGTTACTTAAAACTTAAATAACTAAAACTTAACTGTCAATTTCCAACTTCATCTTCCATCCACTGAAAAAAACAGGAAAGTTTGGTCTGTGTATACTCTGTTGATATATATATAGATAAATATCTTGTAACTATGTATTTAAATTTAAAAAGTAACTTACACAAAGTTACTTATAAAGACCTAGGCTCTTAGGTACTGCTAAAATACTTAGGTACTATACTAAGATACTTATATATGATAGAATAGAAAGGTGAGCTATTGCGTATAATAGCGGAAAAAAATGAGGAACACGAAATGACAACTAATATTGAATCCGTACAAAGCGCATGAATTTCAACCACACATTACTGATCAAAAATAAAAGCACAGTATATTTATTGAAAATAGCAACAATACTATATATTAATCCAATTATAAAAACTTTTAAAATATAATATCATTAAAGCATAGTAAATGTAACATTGCACATTTGTTTATTTTCTTAGCTTTTCCGATTGTTTAGTCAGCCACTTACAAATGCCTTAAACCTTTCTTCTCAAGAACTTTATACACATACACAAATTATCGTTAGAAAATAATTTCCAATAATTTCTAATTGCGTGCTTACAAAAATGGCAAAAAGTATCAGTCATATTAGATTTCCGAATGTGGTTGGCTATCAGCTTCCCTCTACTGCACATCTACGGAAATAGCTCACTTTTCTTATTCCACCATACTTATACTTAGATGTTACAACACTGGGTATCAATAATTCGATTTTAAGTCCCGCTAGAAGATAGTGAACGTAATGCAACGGAGTATATCTTTACTTTTCTTATTCTTTTATCTACTCTGAAATGTACCCTTTCGCAAAACTTGCGTTAATCCTCGTGAGAATCCATAAAAACTTCGACCGGATCCGAAAATATTCAATATTTCGCGTGCCGCGAAGAGCCGCTCGAGCGCAGTTTGCGTAGCGCAATGCAAACAAGAGGATCTATAACGCGCATACCTACATACGAGAACCTCTTAACGTCTGTTCCCACGCAAAATGTTGACTCTGCTGAGCTTACAGATATTAAACGAATATTAAATGTCTTGTTAAAAAAACATGTGAAGTACATATTCACTATTTAACACGAGGCCTACGAAGATAGATTCAGAATATAAGTGCCATAATTAAAATTGAAATCCAAAACTTCGTAAATGGAAGAATATAATTCTGCAAGCTTTGCCTAGCGAATAATTTGAATGAAAATTCATAAATTAACTCTAGGCATAAAATCGTAAAGTATGTAGAAGCTCGTCTTCGGATCTGTTCTCGTAGGTCAATGATCTCCTAGTCAAACGCCTATCCATCTCTTCATTTCTTCGGTATCCAATGAAGAAATATCCATAAAATAATTCTTCACTGGATAAAATCCAGTGAAGAAATATAAAATATCTTCACTGTAATTTCAGTAAAGACATTTGAAACATCTACTTTTTTTAACTACATATCTATTTAATGAAAGATGATCACTTCTGTGAATTATGTATATCCTTGCTATTGGTCTGTAAAGCAAATAGTTTATCGAGTTTATAAACAATGAAAACTACAAAACGTCGAAGCAGCATAGGCGTTCAGGAGGTTTAAGCAGTTGCGAGAGAGATGGGAGAAATCGAAAATAAGTTTTTTGAATTTATAGAAGGCATATTATATGGACTTAAAATCACTTTGGCTGAAACTTACGTAAGTACTAGAAATATATGATTACATTGTATTTAATACTTTAAACACATTTTTCTCGAAACTATATCTTTCAAACTAGCTCTCATGGTTTCAAGCAAATTAATGAATCCATCGACTTTGTCTTTTAGCTACATATTTCAAATACCTCTCTTTATCATTGAAAGCATCGAAATTAAAAGATAAATTAAGATTATAAGATCAATTTATTCATTTTATTTCTAACATATATATATAATATAAGATTAATTTGTTTATTTTATTTCTAACATAGATTTAAAAAATTTTAGCAAATTTTTAAATGCTATTTTTATAATTATTTAAAAAATAATTCTTTTTTTATAATTCTGCTTTCAATGATAATTGAACATCTCTAGATTAATAATTTTATTCGATATTTCATTTCAGATAACTGAGGATCGAGATTTTATGGCAGCCATGAAACGATGCGCGTTTGGACACGTCCCGTATTTATTGTTATGATTACCACAATTTTCATTAAGTATTTTAATTTGAAAAAATTCCTAAGTCTTAATAAAATATGTACTATTATGCGTATAAAGTTTTAAATCAATCACCTGCATAATTTCCGTTAAAAAAATTCATAATAATAAGCATAAAAATAGCCTTTTTAGTTCGCGGAAAAAACTGTTCCCTTACAAATATTTATTTACTATTTTCTAAAAAAAATAAAAACCAAATAAATATTAAACGGCATAAGCGTTTTAAATAACTTATTACGATACTATTTTGAACAAAAAAGTTTTTAATTAATATAATGCTTTTTTATTACAGATTTTCAATGGAATTTAATATTTAAAGATTCATAAGGAATTTATAAAAAAAATATGTCCACAAAGAAAGAAAACGATAACCATTTTACAATAACAGTTCATATTTTCTCGACGCTGGAATATAAAAACACCCCAAGTGATTCCTGGGTTAAGTGTGATGTTGATTACGAGCCACGATACGTGGTATATCCGAAAGGATTCAGCAGCAGAGGAATGTGATAATGCTCGTTGGAATGTTGCACGTCGAACATCACGTCAATCATCGGGTACATAAAAGCGGATGCGATTCGTTTGAAATAATCGTTTACCCGAAACTCAATCTTGAATCTGCCAGATCCGGGATTCTCTTGCATGTCTTGCAACAGATTCTCGCAACGTCCATTCGAATCTGTTACGCTATGAAAAAAAATTAAAAATTAATAATCATGAATAAAAAATACAGTCAATACTTATATATCCTCGCTTAACAATCTCAATATTGTGTAGGCTCTAATGGTATAAATGAAAAATAATTAAAAGCCTCTGAAAATTAATGCTAGTTACGTATAAAAATTTATCAGTTACAAATTGAAATAGTTTCGACTCGCGCGTTTAGAGTCCTCCTCTTCAGTAATAAAAGTCTTTAATATACAGTGATTTTTCTACATTACGTAAAAAACCGTTGTGTTACGTGGAAAAACATAAAAAACAATATCAGCTGTTAGGTAGGAGCAATCATATACAAAAGTATTATATTTTAATACATGCCCAGCCCTGTATATGTATATATACATATATATGCATGCGGAGCACGCTTTCCTTTTTCAAATGAAATTCTTATAAATAAAACATTTATATATATATATATATATATAAATGAGACAATGCAAAACGTACCTTTCTCTCAAAACAATCCACTTGTTATTTTCAAACTTATAGAGACACACAAACAAGTCATTAACAGGTCGACCTCTGCTAGTATCCAAAACATGCGTAGTAATACTTAATTTTTCCTTTCGACTTACAGAAGTACTCATCTATTGTATAAAAAAAAACACAAATTACACAATAAACTGCAAGAAAAATTCATAACTTCAGCTTCGTTTCAACTTTGGATTTCTATATCACATTGTAGTGATAATATATTTTGTATTATGCTTAAATAATAATTTGAGTAATCTATTTGAAAAACGATTAAAGATTGACAATTATAAGTAAAAATTAGATTGATAAGAATAAATGAGGTAAGAGAAATAATACTATTTTTGATCGAAGCGTTTCTTATTGTTTAAAATAGAAAGCCTATTTGAGCCAGCACAGGACGTACAGGTGCAAATTTCATTTATTTAAGAAGATATATAACGTAAACGTGAACATTTCGTTTCGTTTCGTTTCATAAATGTTTGGATCCTCTTTAGAGCAAATAAGTCAAGCACTAATGAATATAAATTAGTAATCCGTAAATATAATTGTGATATGTTTTAACCGCAAGGTGAACCATTTTTAAGTTGGGTCAAACGTAAATGCACTATCTAACTAACTTCTTGAATATTAAATTACTCGATTTGCTGAATGAAACAATAAATTAACCGAAACAAATATTTTTCAAAAAATATAGATCTTATAAATGAAAATGTGACTTACATAGGAATCACTATGTAGGACGAACAATATTAAGCATTATGTTCAATAGTATTCATTAAACTGGCTGATTTACTATATGTTATAAATTAAAAATTAAATATGCATCAAAGAGTAGTCACTTCAATAAAATTAGAAACTTACATGAAATAACAAGAATGTCATTTGACCTGAGAAGGTCGTTTTTTAAATTGTGATTCATAGTTTCCTCTTTTTCATAGGTTTTCGACATAAATCATAGATGAGAGTATTATCCTTTTTAATCAAACATCCAAAAAATTCATTGAATTGCCTCTTAACTTTATGATAAATTTAGTCTAGGGTAGTAGGAATTAAAAATCCAAAAGCTCATTTTCGTAAGAATTGTCAAGAGCAATATTGTCTACGTATCTTACATAAAAAGATGTGTGTGGAGCGACAAAGTTCTTTTTTTTTAACGAACACGACTCCAAGTTTTGCATCACAATATTAGCCACTATGGGAGAAAGTGATGAACTCGCTGAGTACACCGAGTCTGTTTGTAAGTACGATGTACTTATTATTAAAAATGAAAAATGTATAATTAAATATTAGATTTATCGCTTTAAACAATTTCGTCTTTGTGATGTCAGTATTCTGCTCAATATTAAGGGACCATATCTTGATAAATCTTCCAAAACTAAATCAATCGATACATTAGTAAAAAGTGAAATTACGTCAAGAGATAAAAATGAAGCATTCTTCAAAATTGTCAAATTAGAAATATTTTTGATCAGTTAGAAATTGTTACTCATAAAGTTTTCTGTTTAGACGTGGTAGACTTTTATTTTATTCAAAAAAAGAAGGTAAATCATGAAAAAGACTCCCAATAAACGAAAAGCTAACGACACGAAAAGGATATTCAATTTTATATATTTTTAGTAAACCATATGCATGAGATAAAATTGGATTTGTAAAATTTAAATACTTGTAACAAAAATCCAATATAAATCCATAATGCTTCCAATTTTTAAGTGCCTTTAACTTAACGATCATCTTGTTCACAGAATTATGTTTTAAAATCGTGTACGCCTCAGTCTGCAAACGATTTTCTGTGTATAATCTGTTTTGTCCAAAGCCACTACTATTACTTTTATCGGTATGTGTGAACAAAATTTGTGGATTATATATTAAAACCAATGTTTTAATCTATTTTTGTGGAAAGCCACAAAAAAGCTATTATCATCCGTTTTTCTTCAGCCATTATGCTGTGTCACCACATTTTTATAGTAGTATCCTAAGTAATAAATGTTTCGTAATTTTGAATTTAGAATCGATTGAACAATATTTTGAAGAACACAGTAATTGTTAAGTTTTAATTTAAATATCGATTATTAATCAAGTTATTGTATAATATATAAATGTGGTGCCACCTTCTTTTGTATTATCTTGCGTTGCAATCTTAAACTTGAAATTTTTGTTATTTTATTTCAGATTCAATTTACGATTACGTTTCAAAATAAATCGAATAAGTACAATTTATAAAATTGATATATTTACAAAAATTTACATATAAATATTAAATATTTAATATTTAAGATTCGCTTCGAATGAAAAAGATTTTTCTTATTTGATGAAAGATAAATTTAGATATCAATGTAATTTTTCGTTAAATAAATTCCTGTAGATTCTACATTTTTAAGTTTTTTTAAAAAGCCTATATATACATATATTATATAATATTTTTCGTATTGTGCATTACATTTTTTAATAATTTGAGGAAACGGTCTGATCTACTTCACTGTCACCACACTTAGTATTCACGAATATAACTAACTACGTTCGAACATATGCAGCTTTCAAGACCGTCTAAATATAGATAAAATGGATCAAAGAGGTCAAGGAATATGGGCAATGCGATTGAAAGATTGATACTTATCTCTAGTATACATTCATTAAAATTTAATAATATTGTTTGTTTAAAAAAATACAATACGAAACATATGATTCAAGCGAAAATAATATACGAATACAATGTTTATAAGAACAAAATTCTATGTGATATGCGAGAATAAAAAGCAAATAAAATATTGACATTTACTTATAAAAAAACTCTCGAAAACTAACGTATTTTGTTCAAAAACTTATTTCATTGAATACATCATTGAAACTCAACTTATATTAAAAACAATTCTTAACTGCATGTACCAAACCATACCTTATACATATAATATAACAATCTTAACAGTTATCTATGTAAATACATTTTGTTGATTATGTAATACATTTTATCTGCAAAAGCATTAAAAATATTTTATTATTTTATTTATATATTTTGATTATAATTACTGTTTATAATATAATCTAATATAATTATATACAGAGTGTAACTAAAATAAGATAACAAATTTCGGGGCAGAGATACTCCCCCCCCCCATACTAAAATATGAAAAAAGTTCATATGAACAAATGTCCGCAAACTTACTGTTAGTGAGATACAGTTCAAAATATTTATTAATAGAGGAAAATAAAAAAAAGTAATAGTTATTATTATTTAATATTATTTATGTCCAATTTTTAATTACAATAAATGTTTGAAGTATCTTCCATTTGATTCAATACACGCTTGGACACATCATGGATTGTCGGACTTTTTCAAAGATTCCGGGGCAAATGCGAATGATATTACAAGCATCAAAGATGAGTTGGCGTAGCATATCTTCATTGGCGATTGGAATTTCATAAACTAAGGATTTCAAAAGTCCGCGCAGATAATATTTAAATATTTTGAACTATGTCTCAGTAACATTGGATTTGCGGACATATGTTCATATTTTTTTATGTTCTAATGTAGGGGCATAGCCTCTGAAGTTTGTTACATTATTTTAGTTACACCATGTATACAGTGTATGATATATGCATGTTATGTATTTTGAACACATATTCAATACATATACTAACTTATTTAATTCTCTCTCTCTCTCTCTCTCTCTCTCTCCCTCTCTCTCTCTCTCTCTCCGATATAAAAATAATAAAATACACTCGCAGTTTCATAAAAATTGTGAAGTATTTCTTCGCAACTATATCTATCACGAAAGAATTTATTCAATAGCACATCTTATGTGCCACATCTTACTTACGTGCCACGATAGGTTGTGTAACCAAATGGACTTAATAAAAGAGGTATGTGATAGTGAGTTGTTGGTTTTTTTACATCAAATACAATCTCGATGAACGGAAACATAGTATCTATTCTTTTCAGTGTAAAATATTTATCGACATCAAAATGAAGCTTATAACGACCGATCGTACCTTTTATCTTTTCCATCAAATCATCACAATGACCCTCTGCATTTGTACTACTGAAAAAAAATTTTTTTGTTACCACATTTATATTCTTAACATTTTTCAAAAAAAAAAAAACAAAAAAAAAACAAAAAACCAATAGCAACAATTATACAAATATTAATCTTAAAGTTATAAATTTTATTTCTTTATGTGTATCTGTTGTATGTATCTTTTCTTGTTTCATGTGCCATTAAAAGTACACATCGAATAATTATATAAAATTAATATCTTAATAACTAGAAATATTTGATATTAACATTATCATTGTCAAAATTTAAAACAAAATTTTATAAAAATTAATTACTTAAATACTTAAGGGAATGTTAGCATCGCGTTGTTTATTTTATCAATCGAACGCAATAATTTTTATATTATTTTTCATGTATTGTTTTTAGATGTTTTGATATGAATATTGTTTTGGTTTGAAAATTCTTCTCCAGAATTAAAATTTAGACAATAACGCAGTCCGGATTACACGATTTCATGAAAACCAAAAAATTCGAAAATTATAGTTTTATTGCAAACTTCTAGCATCGATTCATAACAATATATACTTTTATAAAAAAAATTATACTTTGTATGTATAAAACAAGCTTGTGCGGACTAGGGAACTACACGGAAGAACAATACTGTATTTTTAGAAATATGCTTAGGAACTTTAGTATAAAAGACAAAACTGTGTAAAAATTGTATAAATTATTATTATATTACTACAAATTATTATATTACTACTATACTACTTCAGGATTATATTATAAAAGTTCGAAAAATCAATTCAGCGCGCAATTTTCATGGTGACATACGTAGTATTGAATTATTTAAGCACTTAAGCTTCGTTAAAGGCTTTTATTTCCTATCGGTTGTATAAAAATTTTATATTTCGTGTGCCAGCGATATTGATGTATAGTAATATATAATGATTTGCTGATGTTTCGTAAATATGTGTAAATCAGTAAAACAACAATCCCGTCACTGTTCGGCTGTCATATCAGTATCCCCTTAATAGAAAATCGATAAATCTTTTGTCTCAAATTATAAAGGCTATATTAAAGAAAATAAAAGTAACATAATAATGATTAATTATAAAAAGACGTACTTTTCATTTAAGAAGGTCCATTTACCATCCATCAGTTTGTATAAGCTAACTTGTAACCCACTAATTGGAACTCCTTTGATATTATCCACAACATATGTAGAAATTCGCAATTTTTTCGATGTTTCCCTGGCTGATTTCCCTGATGATTTTCCGCTAATCTAGAATAAATAAATATGTCAATCAATCAGCCTACGTTCTGGATCACATAGAAAACAAATAAATAAAAAATTACACATTTTTTTTACCTTCTTAGTCGACAACTTAGTATCAGCCGATTGCTGATTAACAGGCTGTTGGCTGGTGCTAGGAATAATCAATGATTGATCGATGTTGGAATCTGACTTTACTTCAATTTTGTTCTCTGATTCGTTTATGATTTTGTTTTGATCAGTCAACATCAATGCTGTTGGGTTACCCTTAAGCTTGGTCAGCACATACTGTGTGCCCGGTTGGAACGTACCGCCAGTTAATGTAAAAGTTTTATTACCACACATTAGAGTGATGGTCTTTTGAGTATTCGGATTCGGCGCAATCGGCACATAATTCATCGTACTCTTAGGCATTATGCTTGTCGCAACACTTGTCTGATAAGTTGTACTCAATATCGGTAATGATGTAGTTATGAAATTATCTTTACTATTCTCCAGCTATAAAACAATATTTTTTGTATATATAGCTAATTATGATTTCATATATAAAAATACTTATATAATACAAATACTCAGCCAATGATTTTCAATATGAGATTTACGTATAATTCAATTAAATTTAAGATTGATGTTCAATAGCAGTTTTTTAACTGTTGTTTATATTCTTCTATCATTCAGAAAAATAAATTACTCACAAGAACTTTTCCATTCTTGGTGGCTTTGATTACCGTTTTTTTATTTTCACGTGGTTTTGATGTTTCCTGAATATCATCCTCTAATTCAGGTAAAACAGATATATCATTGTTAGTCGATTCTATCACCATCTCCACCTGCACGTTTTCTTGATCCTCGACTACTTCTTCCTCAAGATATTCGTTATGAACATGGGCCATCGCCTTTGTCAAAGGATCTTGACATTTTTCCTACATGAAAAATTAGCATCACGAAAAATTATAATATATAAAAAACAATTACATTAGAAAAATCGACAGATGTCAAACTATAAAATTAATATTTTTTATTGCACGCATACATAATCTGTTGCATAAATTACCTCGGATAATTTGATCTTCTTTATTACAGATATAGAATCCTCATTGGATTGATCACTATCCATCTCCTTTTCTTCTTTCTGTTCAATATTGACTTCTTCAATTTTTCTCTTTACATTTTCCAATTCTATTGAGTCTTCCTCGTCTGTATCTAATCTTTCAACAACATATTCGATATCGTCATCCTCACCTAGTTCCGCTTGAGAAGAATCATCTATTGTCTAAATAAAAATTTACACATATATATATGTAAATTAGTAAATAATTCTAATCAGAGCCAAACATAAGATGAACGCATGTTATTAAAATTAGCATAATACAGTAATTACAGACATTTCAATCCACATTTTAGAGTCCTTCTCAGTACAACAAAGGGGAATTGAAATATAATAACAGAATTCAATACTAAATAGTTTTCAAATAAAATGCAATATTTAAAGTCTGTTCTACAATAGAGTCGTAAGCGGTAAGTCATAAGAAATTAACCAATCATAGTCGATTATTCTTCTCTTAACTGTGATTGGCCAATTTCTTACAGCTTACGACTTGCGACGCTATTGTAGAACAGGTAAAATAAAGCCGGTTACATTAATTGCAAGCTGATCGCAAATTTGTTGCAACAGCCAATCTGAAGCGATTTCAAAATACAAGCTTCAGATTGGCTGTCGCAACAAATTTGCGATCGGCTTACAATTAATGTAGAACCAGCTTTAGAGAATAAGACGAGATGTAGCACTGTGTAAAATAAATTCATATGCTGAGTGTTATGTCTAAGCGTCTTCTTCATTGAATTTCCAAATTGATTGAGGAATAATAAAATATGAATTGTTAAAATAAACAATAAAAAAAATATTAGAAAAATAAAATTTGATAAAAAGACATATAACTAATGCCTGGACAAATCGATTGGAATGGATCAGATGTTCAAGCTCATAAATTAAAGAAAATCAAGATACAAATCATGATACATATTATGGCGATTATATTGCTATGACTTCGGAGAACCGATAATGTGTACGCAGTATATACAGATACACAAAATATACAAATACGAAGATTTTGTCTGTCCACACAGCCCATCATTCGAAAAATGTAGACAATGGGTATAAATGGGTGCATATGGGCCTTTTAAACGTATTAATTCCTAACAAGATAATCAATAGGCTCTAAAGAAAAATCTAAAAAATAATAAATAAAATGCCAATTTGAGTCAACATTGATTATTCGTGTATATTATAACATATACGTTTCAACCTACGGTCAAGGTTCTCTTCACAGTACTAAGAAATTTACTTGGTTATCAAATTACTAAGGTTACTAAAAAAGAAAGAGATTTTTTTTTTATTTTGAATCGACTGATCAAAAGGAATTAAAAAATATATTTCAAATTGCTAACATGAAGTTATCCGCAAAAAATAAACTTACATGTCAAGATTGAACTGTTTCTCTAAGATATGTTATTCCATTAGACTATTCTATTTACTGTTCTAATACAATTATGAATAAATTAAAAAATTAATATAAATAACAGTTAAAATCAAATTTTAGTTCACTTAATAAGTTATATGAAACAAATTAGGCGTTATTAGACATAACTGTAGATGAATGTAAAGTGAAAATTGAAAGAAATAGTAAACAGAACATGTGCTTACAAAGACAATAATTATACATGTTCTATTGTCCACTGTTTCTCTCAATTTTCATTTTACATTTGTCTACCAAATAGTTATGTCGTCTATTAACTCTTAATTTGTTTCATGTAAATGAACTAATGTCTGATTTTAACTGTTATTTATATTAACTTTTTAATTTATTTATAATTATATTACACAATAAATAGAACAGTCTAATGGAACATGTATAACATATCTCACAGAAACAATTCAATCTTGACAGTCATGTAAGTTTATTTTATCATATTTAACTTCATGTGTGTTAGCAATTTAAAATATATTTTTTAATTCCTATTGGTCAGTTGATTCAAAACAAAAAAATTTCTTTCTTTTTTAGTAAACTTAGTAATTTGATGACCAAAATTAACTCGGATATCACTATCACAGTTTTTTCGTATTTTATACGTTAATAGTTTATACTCGTATGCGCTATCATTATGTAATTTTATAATTAAGTTTAAGTAAATTTCTTTGTACTGAAGAAGATCTTGACCATAGATCGAAATATATACGTTATAATGTTCACTTTGAATGATATAAAATACATACGAATAAGTGTTGGCTCAAATTGGCATTTTATTTATTATTTTTTAGATATTAATTCTTTTCTGTCAATCGTCTGTTTACATTTCTTCATTTACATTTAAAGAAAGCAGAATTGAAACATTTCGTATCGGTGTGTAGAGAATTATAATTTAATACGTAATCAGTAATTATATGCAATAATCCAACATGAAACAATTACAATAATCTGTCTAAAATTTAACTGATTATTCAAAATTAAGGATAATATTAAGGATAACAGGTCAATGAGAAATATATTTTGTATGGAGAATATTCGCGAAAGATCAAGTGCAAGTGATCGAACGTGAAAACGTGGCGCGCGCTAAGCGCTATAATTCAAGCGGTGCGTCTACCAAGCAATCTCTACTCGTCACGCAAGATAGACATAATACTCGCCGCGACCGATACATATAAGCTCGTATTCAAATTCGAGCTTTTATCTCTTAAATGCTATAATATGCATGATATAAAGTACAATATGTTAGCGCGCTAACATTGTTGTAAGCACGTTCTGAACCGGCCGAAATACCGGCCATATATAGCGCGTTCAGTAGACTCAGCTGTTTCGAAACGAATCCGTGAGCGTTCGCTGATATTGTATTCTTTTAGATTTTAGAATATTTTAGATCATTCAATAGTAGCGACCGCTCACAGATCTGCTCCATAACAGTTGAGTCTGCTGAATGTGGCTATAGTTAGCGATAGTCCGCATAGATACGTGTTTGTTCAGATATTTAGAAATTAATATCTTCTCAAATATTGCGAAAATTGCAATGGTACTTTTTCAGTTTAGTTTGCTCTACTCGAACACGAAATATTTTGCGGTTATTCTGCGACATTCTGACAGAACCTGTATTTCTTTTTTTTTTTTTTCAATAATAGATATACAATTTTTAAATTAACAAAAGATTTATACTGACCTCAACTTCTTCCATAAGTCCTATTTCAGGTGCATCGGCATCTGACTTCTGTATCTGTTGCTGTTCCAATTGATATGTCAAGGCCGAACGCTGATGCTTCATTGTGCATGTATGTTTCAGTAGCGACAAACGATGTGCGTGTAAATTCTTTCTGCAATATAGGCAGTAAGCACGAGTCGGTTGATTGGAAACTGAAGTCAGCCATCCTGTTTATAAAAATATTTTAAAAACATTAATATCTTTTACTTAAATAAACTCTATATCAAAATATTTAAATTACTATTACTTTACTGAAGATTGAGAATTGTAAATTAAAGTTCAAAATTCAACCAATCAGAACAAACATTAATAATTAACAACTTATTAATTAATCGAAACTAGAAACATTGAGTGCTTCATTCGCGGCTAAAATAATCAAATAGCTTATTAATCGAGAAAAACTATAAGGAAAAAACTCGAGTATTTCTATAAAAATCTTCGAAATTCGATTAATCGAAGCAACATCGCTCATATCACTGACGAGATACTATTATTATATTACATTACGCCGAGGACGGTCGGCGCTTACGGAAGTCACGTGCCTATTAAAATTTAAGTGAAAGTAAGAAATTAATAATACGCTAATAATTTCATAATTTATTACTTTCGTAGACATGTATATGTATGTTAAAACTTAACAATACTTCATTTTTATTTAAAACTTTGATTTTAATGTTATCATCTGAATTTGATTATCAACAGAGATGATAACTGTAAAGAAAAAATTATAATTTTTCGGTAATATATGAGATATTATAACATTAAAAGGATGCATACTTATTTATATAGCATTTATATGATAAAAAAATCACGAATTTAATAATCATTGAAATATTTATGTTAATCATAAATTTTTATTAATTGTTGGTAACGTCACCGTTCTTCAATTATATTGTATATCCCCAGACCCCCCCGGGTCCTATTGATAGTCATGAAAATTTGTCCAGAGCCGACGATCTTTAAATATCTCGTCGATGCCCAATACTAATAGCATATTCGATTTACTGACTCAACTCAAGTCAACTCATGGTCTGTTCTTTTTCTAAAAATGAATGTCGAGTGTCAGCATGAAAAGGCATCTTTATGGTTACTGTTACGGAAAATGTGTGCGGTAACCTTAAAAACTTTCTTTTCCCTTTACGTTGCAGCAAGATAGATTAAACTAGGAACTAATCCACTATATGTGCATAGGGTATAGAAAATTAAATCAAGAGCAGTCAACCCAAATGCAACATCAGATGATTCTATGCTTAGGGTTTCCTGTGAGCAACGCAAAAAAAGAAATAGAGAGAGAGAGAGAGAGAGAGAAAGAGAAAACGCACCTTTGAAGTCCGACATCTGTTCCCACTCCCTCCTGTAACGCTGCGTATAGACCCGCGTCTTCGCATGGCTGATCTTTCCCGTCGGCGTGAGACGTAGAGGTTGAGACGGCGAAGTTGACGTGGAAGTCAGCACATTTCTACATATTACGCCCCGCTCGGCGACGAGCGTGACAGTTTTTGCCGTTTTTGGCGAGATACTGATAGTGTCCATTCGTGCCGAATTCTCCAGTTATGCGTGCCAGTCGCACAATCAAGTATTTGTATCCAAAATAGCAGCGTGAAATCACTAAATAGTTTTTTCTTCTTGCTCCGTTACTGTGGTTATTTGACGTGAGTAGGGAACTACGATGAATACGACGACGATCTCTAGACTTTCTCGCCTAGTATTCCGTTCTAACTTATCTAACTCCCTAGCGTAATGGCGAATGCTGATGTTACTGCACGTAAACCGATCCGTTCGGGTCGAGTTCTCTTTCGATCGACTTGGCTGTTAAGATGGCAGTGCAATGCAGGGCCGTATAAAGCTCTATATATCAAAGTAGCACATTTTAACCTACTAACCATACCCTATACCATTAATACTAAGCGCTTATTGGACTACAGACAACTAAATCGAAATGGCGGTCGAAATAGCCAAAGAAGATTGGATTAGGAAGATTGTCGATATTTCGGTCAGATAAAAAAAAATGCATTACATTGGTAATATATAGAGCTTCCAGGGCCGTAACTATTGACGATGGCGCCTCGTCTCGAACAGACACGAATATTCCCGAATCGCGACACGATTCATTTCGTGGAATTTATCCCGTCGATCAATCTTTTTCGCATAATCGACTAGATGCGATTATTAAAAATCGACAACTTTATGAAAATTCGCGTGAAAGCCTAAATGGTTAGTTTATAATATAATACCAATTTTATAATTTATTATCCTGATTTTTTTGTAGACACATATATGTTTCAGATTTAATAATATTCAATTTTAATTTCAAACTATAATTTTATTATCGTAATCGATTTGATTGAATGTACGAGCGAAATAATTAAAAAATTTATAATCACTAGTATCGACATTCTTCAGATTATCTTTAGATTATCTCCAGAACTCTATTAATAGTTATGATAATTTATCCAAGATTTTTAATATCTCGTTGAAGACGCATTCAAGACAAATTATATATATAAACATTAAATGTACACTACAATAGGAAATTTAATCGTTGCTCGGTATCTATTTATTTTGACCTCGCTTTTATCTACGTTATTATACATACGCAAATAAGTGCGTAATACGCTAATTTTATCGATGTGCGCGCACAAAAGCCAAGCACGCATAAAATTAATATGAGTAATCATAATAAAACATGAGAACACTTTCTAGTTTATATTAAAATTAGTGATTTGCGTTTAACAGAGAAAACAGTTTTGCAACTGTTATAAAATTCTTCAATACGATTGGCTCTTTTCTTTGGTTCTTTACAGATCTAAATGCAGAAACCAATCATATTGAAGAATTTTATAACAGTTGCAAAACTGCTTTCTCTGCTGAACGCAACCACTAATATTTTTTAAATTATTGTTAATTTTTATAAATTATTATTAATTGTATTTCCGAAACCATTCTTGAAAAACAGTCTCTGCTTAAAAGTCACTTGAGGGATTTCAGTTGGTAGCCAATTGCTTGAAGTTTTCGCAGCCATTTCCGAAACAATACATTTCTCTAGCTCTAATATCCTTTTTTTATACTAGAGAGATCCTCATTATACACACAAGTTCATATACTACCATCCAGTATCCTATTTTACAATTGGATTATATTATTACAATATATTGGGTCATCTAAAAAGTATCCGCGGTTTTTTGTCACTAGATGGTGTTGATGGTCAACACTATCTAGTGACAAAAAACCGCGGATACTTTTTAGATGACCCAATATTATTAATACGCTCCAAATAATAACTTTCTACCAAGTAATTTCTGGAAAAAATCTGGAAAATTAATAACTATCAATTTGCCGAAGAATAAATCGAAATGTTACTACATGGCAAATTTTAAACTTTAAATTATTTTGTTATAATACCTTAATAATCTAAATTATTGATAACATAAATAAACACACAAAATAATTATAACAATGTATATCTTTAATAATAAGGCTTCAAAGAACTAAATCGAAATAAGAAAAAAATACAAAACAATATAAGCTACATTGCTCTAGTTTATACTGATCATTTAATACCACCGACGAGATATTATTAAAGACCATCAACCCTAGACAAATTTTTATTCTCACAAAAAAGGTCCCGATGGCCCGAAGGTAATTGAAGAACGTTGATCTTATCGACAATTATTAAAGTAAATTTGCGATTTTTAATATAAATATCGATTCTAATACAAGCTATTAAATTCATAATTTTTTATTATATAAATGCTTCATAAATTAGTATGCATACTTGTAATGCTATAATTATAATTATAATATATACATATATATTGCCGCATAATTTTTTTCTCTACAGTTATCATTTAACTTATATATATATATATATATATATTATATATATATATGTATATATATATATATTATATATATATAAAATTTAATATATGAAAATTGTTTATAAATATTAGCATATTTGTAAAAATAATTCCAATACATCCTTAAGAAATTGATGATGATCTTTGCGTAATTTTCAAACAATTTCTCCAAAAGTTAAACCAAAAGCATCTCATAGATCCCCTTTCAAACCATACAATTTTTGTATGAAACATTTTTTTTAGATATATATTATATTTAAAAATATCATATTCAATATCTCAAAAATGTTTTATAAAAAAAAACTAGACTGATATATACATTTACATTTCAACCATCAATTCGATGAAAAATAAATAACATATCGAAATATTTTTTTCAAACGCTGTATGGAAGAATACAAGAAAGAAATTGAATTTCAACATACTATATTTTAATATATACTCCTAAGAATACTGTTAATGATTGAGAGAGAAATGAATAAATATGTAAATATGTAAATCTCGGAAAAAATTAGTTTTTATTATTCTATAATAACATTTTTTTAAAAAGTCATCAATTCCGGACCAATATGTAAATAAAAGATAGCTCTCTACTTTACTCTTTACTTTAAAGTAATAAATCACTTTTTAATCATATATAGCATTTGTTATTTGATCTTATATTGTTAATTTCTTTCACCATTCTATGCAAACAAAAATTTTTACAAATTCTAATTTTCCTTTCAATTTTTCGGAATTTTCGAATGCCCCATCAATCTTTTTTAATATTTTGACAATGTAACTATACACGTTCATATAAATCATTCTATTATATTGTTTAACTGACATTGCTTTTGTTATGACCCCGTCTTTTGTATTCCTCCGTAAAGAAACGCACACATGAATACATACATTCTCTTATGCATTTTATATGTGTAGTAAAAGACGCAGGTAGAGAATACCAGTATACCGTCCAGATGGGATTTAAAAACGGCCTCAGCAAATCACGTTGCAGCTATAGGATGGAGACATAGAATCCGTATACCTGTGGACTCACCACTTCGACTGAACGTTATAAGTGAAAGCTCAGTTTAAATGCAGACATCACGCTACACGCTCTTTCTAGAAGATTTGGATTGCGATAGTTCTGGTATGGTTACAACAATTGCATTTTGATAAATCGTGTAATACATTCGATAAATCGATAAATTATATATTTATATATTGAGTCTACACTCACGAAATCATAATTTTTTTAAAAACTAATTTTTTCTTTTATCGTTCATTTTTGATTTTGTCCTTTTCTATAATGTTTGCCAAGGCGTTTTCTAAGAATTCTAAAAGTTAGGGGGATGTTAGAGCAACGTGTCAATTTTTACGAATTACAGTACAACCGAAATTTTCAAATTGATTTTACGGATTGCAAAATTACTTTGTTACAGAATTAAAAGACGCATAAATAGAAAGTCCGGATATCGATTTCAAAAAATGAAAGAAAAATTAAAAAATTCAATTATTTTTGGCTTATACACAGTAATAAATTTTGTATTAATTTAACGTAAGATGAATAGAAAGCAACACAAATGTTATGTAAAAACTGAATACAAACAAGAAGCGTAATACTTTGACACAATTTAAAAACAAATTTTATATTAAATTGACACATTTATAATGTTAAATTTAACTAAAATTGAATGCTATTGTCACATTTTTAGTTTAGGCAATGCCTCTGTGATATTTAACATATGCAATAAAGATTTAAGAGATATTTACTGTTATAAAGAGAAAACATAAAATATCTGTACCTTTTTACATATAAAATATATAACTAGTTGTATAAAACATATTTCTTCAGTAAAATTCATATTTATAATATATTAAATCAACACACATTTTATTCATTTATTCTTAGAATTTATGTTTTAAAACTACATTATGTTTGTTATTTGTTTACTTATCTATAAATTGTGCCATTTTAACTGAAAAATGTTAAATTTAAATTTAGCACAAAATATTCAAATAACAATCATATTATGTTAATTTAAAACTTGGATATGTTAAAAATTCAATACAAAAATTTTAACAAGGATTCATTTTAACATAAATACAAAATGTTTTTACTGTGTATAGCTGTCACTTGAAGTTGAAGTTTGTTTGATATAAAAGTTTTATAGTTCATATGAATAGTATAAGCATTCAGCGGACCTCAAATTACAGGGAGTCACCTTATTCATGTGTGTATGTGTATGTATGCATATATGTATATTTTTAATAAGTAAATATCTATTATTATTATTTGCAGAAATGATCAATCATCATATGCGACATAATCTTCTGGAAGAATTTGATAATTTACGACATATATAATTTTCTGAGAGTTTGAAATTAACGTGTTACAATACGTATATCAATCATGAAGAAACCAATTTTGTACAAAGTTGAGACATACATTGTGCCTAGAATGGAGAACTTATCAATAATTAATGAGATCGATGATCTCAAGATCGCAAATCAATTTGATATCAAGAGCGAAAGCATATTCGAGAAGAGTACGCAAAATGAGAAAGATACGTCGCTCACTTCAAATAATAAATACGAAGAAACCATGAAGTTTTCCACTGAAGATAGCACATTGATTGGTATAAAACTCGTGAAAGGCATAACGAACGAGAATGACACTCTATCCATTCGCGACGAACATTTGGATAATGATATCATTAAATATTATAACAACGCGAATTCTTGTCGTTCTAACGAACGTGTACGAAAAACGGAATTTCAAGCATCAATTGGACCACAGGAGTCATTGTATCCTGCGAAACAGGACGAACAGTTTGATGTCGATTGATGAGAGAAGTGAGAACTCCTTGGACTCCAAGCTGAGCAACTTCTGCCGTCACGGTTACAAGAATGGCTGTACCGCATCGATTCCGTCACCTGAAGAAGTTAGCGAGGAGATCTTCAGAGAAAATTGGTTGCACAAAATTGAGATCCTAAGGAATCGTGAAACCATCTTGCGGGAAAAGGAGATAAATCTGCAAAAAAGAGAGAGGCAGCTATTTAGAAAAGAGAAGGAACTAAGAATCACGGAGAGACTTCTCAATGATAAAATGAAGCAGGTAGAGCAGCTAAAATACCAAAAAGACATAGTAATAGAAAAGACGCTGGAGCAAGCGGCACAAATTTTATACGATATCGAAAAATCTGATCTTGTAGAAGAGGAAATTCTGAGAAAAGATGATGTTTCAAAGAAAAAAAATATTCCGAAAAAGGAAGAAATTCCAAAAAAAGAAGAGGTTCCGAAAAAAGAAGAGATTCCGAAAAAAGAAGAGATTGTGAAGAGAGAAGAAATTCCGAGAAAAACAGAAATTCCTCAAAAAATAGAGATTTTAAACAAAGCGGAGATCCCAAAAAATCTTCAACCTATTATCAATCCACACGAAAAAGAGGAAAAGAAAAAGCATTTGATACATCCATATTCATCATCGAGAAAATCTTTTTCTTCGAAGACTCATTCTTACGCTACTATAAAGTACAAAGAGCGTCCTAGGATAAATTACGATAACCTAAACTCGTCGTTGTCAGCCGCTAGCATAGATACATCTAACATACGAACATCGGAACTATTTAATCCAGTGCTTTATAAGAAGCCATATGCGTTCACAAGATCAGTAAGCGAGCGATGGACCAAGTACAAAGATATCCCAGGAACACTGCAAAGAGTAGCTGAGGAGAAACCCGAGCACATGATCGAAGAGGATAAAATTTTTCGGAAGTTCAGCGATAACATATGCGCTTTGCAAAAGAAGGAGACAAGGTTTCAGAATTACGGACCCGTAGATATTCCTGATGATATTCTAGGCAAGACAGAACGTAGTAATAAAGACAAGTTGTCTTCTTATCTTAATTTGGAAACTGGCGAGAAATGTAGCCATCGAGATCAAGCCAGCACTTTCAAGGATAGGCCGGTGTCCTGGACAAACGAAATGGACAAATGGATACAAAAGCACCAGATGTACAATTCAGCGACCAAACAATCGAATGAGAATAAGGAGAACGTCGTGTGCAATACCTATAATATCAAGAAAAAAACGAAGAAAAAGTTGAAAAAATTCTCTCTATTTCGTTAGCACTTCGATGGTATTTAATAACACACTAAAATGAGAATAATAATAGTTATTATTGATCATTTGCATTACTTTAATCACTCGCATTACACTGGATTAGTACACATTAAAGACTGTTTTAAGATGACGACCTTAATCTCATAATATAGCATAGGAATTTTACTTGTAACATTATTTCTTATTTGCGTAATTTGTTTAATCATCATTACTACTTCTATGACTTTATTCGATTTATTATTATATTGTTCTGAAGAAGACCAAAAAAAATGGTTGACATCTATTAAATTACGTATATTAAAATAAATTGTAAAAAAATACACACCAACATGGCTCATCGCGATTTTTTTTTATTCAAATTTCATTTGAAATTCTGAGCCTTAATTAATTCATGTAATTATATTATCTAAATGCAATGGCGTAATTTAAACTTTGACAATAAAAGAAAACATTTATTTTGTTAAATAACGTGACAATATCATTATTGGGCATTTCATTGTTTAAAATATTTACATGCTTTTAACATTTAATTTTATTAATTTCAAATATAGTAGTTTTTAATATGTATTAATCTAATATAATGCAAGTCTTATTGTTTCGTGTTTATGAGGATCTCTGAATATTTGTGATGATCTCTGTTCAATATATAATGTAAATTTAATGTAATTTTTATATAAGTTCGTGTATATATCGGATTTGCTATGTTGACAAAATAATTTGATATGTATTGTCTATTTATTATGAAATAGTACTTTTAGTGATTAATAGAAATACGTAATATGGCAATTCTGTATATATTTATCACTTATATCGCATTGTTACCAATAAATGAAACTGATTACACGCACGCATATATATATTTTTTTTTTCTTTCTTTCGTCATTTAATCTAGATTACATGTGTATATTAATGAAACATCTATGGTCTTCATTTAAACATATTTATTTTTTAATTAACTTAACAAGCACTAATTGATTCTGCTATTTCTTAAGATTTGAACAATGTGCAATAAGGATAGCTAATATGGCCAGGAGGATGACTCCTCAGGCTTTAACTCTCTACCGTACAATGCTGATTTGTCCCTGAATGTTGTCATCCTCTCTGATTCCAACTTATCTAACTTATGACCAATCATAAAACCTGCGAAGGGAAAGATGAGAGTCCAATACATCTTCCAGATGTGCTTGTGCGATAACAAAGTCTGAAGTAGACTCATGTCAGTCAGCGTAGTCTCACTTGTCCTGCTGTTCAGCCAATTGGCGCTTCCCGCGAGCTGTATGCCTCAAATCCGCGTAAATCGTAAGCACCGTAAATGTAGGAAATAATACGCTGACGAAGTTTCGCTGAACCGAGATCCAGACAGTTTTGAAAATACCAAATTCCATCAAACTGGAAAATTCAAAAAGTAAAAATCAAATAGACAGAATGAGATTTACAGGATTCTAATAACAAATACTAATATAGAGTAACTTTAATCTTATTTCAGTTTATACTTTATTTTTCTCTAATTCTTAGAACTAGAAAATAAATAAAAACTATATTAGCTAAGATTAAAATCATCCAAGGACTCAAATCTGGATTGAAACATTCACAATGATTATCCCTATGTATATTAAAATAATGTATGTAAGGACACTATAAGACAGCTAATTATTAAGTTTTGTACTAGAATTATCCTTTTCACTATTAGTTAGATGTCTATCTCTTTTTTAACATACATCTAATCTCATTTTAAGTTCCAAAAGTAAAACTAGTTCAGCCACGAAACAGACATAGAGATTATGAGTTTAGCAGATAACACAATTTCACAATTTTTTAAATAAAATTCTTTAATATGATTGACTTTATTTCCTTACTCGATCTAATTGTAAGTATATAAATAAATCACTAAAGAATTTCATAACAGTTGCAAATCTACTTCCTTGAACGCAGCCATTGCAAGTGTTATGAAATTCTTGTTGTTTGCCAATGTTAAATAAGAAAGAAATAATTCAGTGTTAATACTGTGTTCTTGCTAGAAAATGTCTAATAATTATTGCAAATGAACAATAAATTTACGTGTGAATAACTGTATTAGCTATTTATAGACTTTTTTGTAATTCTTGAATTAAATTAATCTACATTGGTATAACAGACATAAAAAAAGTTCTACTCAAGAGCGAGAAACTATCCGAGTTATCATGTTTTTTCGTCACAATAAACTTGTGCAAACTCAGTTCGATAAAGCTGTGAGAAGTGAAAATAATGTGACAGAGCAGCAAGGTAAGTCGAAAAATAGTTTAACGAGAGATTTTCTTACAAATTACAGGGCGCATCGGTTGGCCAATAACCTTGATCTGAATATTTGTAGTAGTTTTTAGAAGTTGGAGGTTAAGGGTTAAGGGAATGCTTGAAACGATGGCTGAACGATCGATGTCGGTAAAACAGATTTTTAATTCCAAATAAAATATTGTATATTACATGTATTATATACATACATATATAAGAATAGGATTCCAGAGCATCTATTCTTGAAAAGAAAATAAAGAAATGAAAAATTAGACAAATACTATAGTATATTATAGTACAATATTTTTAATACTATAGTATACGTTACATTCGCGTTTTTTTAAATCTCAGAATTTTTTATTTTAAAAAGAGAGAAAGCGAAGATGCTGAATGCAAAAAGTACATGCAACGCGACAGACGTAATATAATGTCATTGGTGAAACAGTGAAAAATTACTAGGAACAGGCCGTTGTGAATGGTATGTGCAATTGAATTTGACATCTTCGTGTCTGTACCATCTATGGTTTATATGTTCATATTGCAATATTTTGTGGCTGTGACAAATTTCTTAACCTTAATAGTCATTTATTAATATCTCAGTTCACGAAACAGAGCAGCATTTTTTCTTGTCGAATCTTAATTTTTACATTAAAACACATCGATTGAGTATATTTTTATCAAGATTTGAAATAAACAGTGTATTCTTAACATTTATTCTCAAACGTTTATTTCTCGATCGGAACTCGATCTCATATACGGAGTGTTAAGGAACAGAAGTGTTCGCGGGGAAACAAGCACCGTAATGACGGTGAAAGGGACACTCGATGATTTGTAATAAAAAATAGACGAGAGTATCGCGGCAACACTAATTCCGATTGTTTTTAAAAGTCGCGTCAATAGTTGTCTCTTCTGCTAGCGCACAGAGTTTCGTGAGGAAGTAGGTGGGAGAAAAGAAATTGTAATATCAATTTGTGATCTTAAACAATGAGAATTGGTACGTTTTTATAAGATGAAAATTCCTGACTAAACTTCTATTGATTTTATATAATACATATGTTCCCTTCAGAAAAAAGAAAACCTAGGAATTTGCTAAGAATGCCTCCAAAGCATACCTCGAAAGACACGGAGATCTTGTGGTCTGATATAGCTGGTCGCATTTTAGTAAATGCAATCTCCTATCCTATTGAATATGCTAAGGTTTTGATTCAGGTAAAGATGTATCTCTGCCGGTTAAGAATTTTGATACAAACAATATATATACACTGATGTAATATTGTTATCTAAAGAAAAACAGTCATATATTTGTTTTATTACTTAGATCGGATACGAGCCTATTCCACCCAAACCAACTGTAACATTGTTTGGAAAGCCTGCATTGAAACTACCGAATGCTTTTACATATAGTTAGTATAATTCTAATTTAAAACTTAAGAAATATTTTTTAAGAGATTGTTTTATCTTTTCTACTATGGATGCACTAGACATTCAGGAAGGATTATCAGATATCTTATTTCTGACAATATATCAGGCCAACATTTTATATTGAAATGACATGTATGATGGTACAAATATTTAAAAACTTTTATTATCACTGATATATTTTTTAGAAATATAGTATAATATTTCTAAAACATATCAGTGATAATAAAAATTTTTAGATAATCCTATCATACATGTCATTTCAATATAAAGTTTAGGCTGAATATATTGCCAGAAATTAGATATCTCCTCCCCCCCTCCAACAATCCTGTCTGGTTATCTGGTGCATCCCTTTTTCTACTTTAAATTATATTGTTTTATTATATACTTCTCTGTTTAACACAAAATGTTATTTCTTGCAGTTAAACACATAAAGAGCTTGGATGGCTTTACAGGCTGCTATAGAGGCTTAGTACCCAAGGTATGTTCCTATACAGTCAGTACAATAGCGTGTGACAAGACTTTAGAATATCTACAGTCGAACTCAGTGGAACAGAAGGAGGATGAAGACGATGAAGATGAGACAGTGAGGTATGTGTATCAAGGGAAAGGAGAAAAATATGAATAGTGAATTAATAATTTCTTTTGTTTATAGACGTAAAAGATGCATGAATGAGATCATCAGGGATGTGATCAGTAGAACAGTCGCGATCATAGTTAGTCATCCTTTGGAAGTCATTTCATTAAGGATGATGGCGCAATTTGTGGGTAGAGAGACAAAATATAGGTATAAATATATATAAATATATATATAATAAATGACATATCTTTTTAGATTTCCAGAGGAAAAAGAATGTGTGTATTGTATATATAAATCTTTTGATCTTCAATTATAAAATATACGTGATATAGAAAGAGAAATGATTAATAAGAGATAATATTGAAAATTTTTTACGAAATTTCAGTAATTAATGCTAAAATCTGATTCTATATATATAATATGCACTTATAAAATGAAATAAAGAAATAAAGACAAAGTATGTATATAATCGCATTTGTATTTGTTAATTTTGAAGAGAATCGAAAATTTTGAATGTAATTTTCTAGAAAAATTTGTTAAATTTGTATTCTTCTCTGGGCGATTCGTTTGTCAACGCAACAAAATTTATTTATCATGTTTTTTACCATTAGTAGTCTATTTGGTTCGTTCCTGGAAATTTACAAGGAGAATGGGATCCTAGGTTATTACGCAGGATTGATACCGCGTATAATAGGAAGCGCTGCAGTTATAGTTTTAACTGGTATCTCTACATACGCTATAAACAATTACGTTATACAGGAGCCAGCAATGAAGCCATACACTGCATCAACCATGAAAGTAAGCCCAAAGCCTCAATATTTTTCAAAGAGAAGTGCTCCGATACGTATTTTTTTTACACAACGTGTTTCAGAACTAACATTAACTTACATATTTCATATGTAAAGTTTAAGCATGTTTAAAATAAAATATTTGTACAGTTTGTAGCTACAACCGTTATGTACCCGTTCTTAGTGGTATCTCACTGCATGGCAGTAAATGACTGCGGGTAAGTAAAATCTCATGTCCAATACGTTCATTGAAGATTAACATAATTTTTTCTTTTTTTATATCTTATTGTAAATGTATTTTCTTAAGTAATTGACAATTATGAGATTTAGAAATATATAAATATATATACACACTTCATACTTTAAAAATAATTTTATACTAAACAGTTTGAATAAAAAGTTTTATACTTTAAGGCTACATTTCAAAATGTCCTATTCGAGGAAAATTTTATTTGATATAATATACTACATTACATACTATATATGTATTTCGAATAAAATTTTCCTTAGAGAGAACGTTTTAGAATAAGTCTAAAAGTTAGACATTATAAATGTAGTCTAGAAGTTACAAAAGGTAAATGCCATGATAGTACTTTGTCCTTCACAAAATAAAGTAAAACTGATCGAGTTAAAAACATTTGATATTTCATGATAAAATTAATGAAAATTGTTTGTGAAAATTGTTCAAGATTGATAGCTGGTCTTCCACCACACATGCCGATCTATAAGAACTGGCTGCATTGTTGGACTCATCTGTCGACTCATAATCAGCTGAAGAGAGGCAGCAGTCTGTTATGGCGTTACTATACTGGACCGCCGCAAATGCTGCTGAATGGCAAGCTGATACCAATTATGAGCAATAACTTTTATCAGCCTAGTTCGTAATGAGTCTTAAAGTAAGCTAGATCAATCTGTTTGAAAGCCAAATAAGTTTGTTATAAATCAAATAAGTGTCGACCAATCGTTTATTTGACGATTTATTTATACAGTGTATAGATATAACCGTATAAAAAGGAAAAGGAAAAAGAGAAAATTTGGTTTCAACGAATTTATATAGCAAGATCGTACAAGAATTTGCGTGCATTAAACATTCTTGTAAGGTCAAAAGTCATTATCAATACAAAATAATAGAAAAAAGAAGACAAATCCAGTTAGGATCAATCAAGATGATTGTAGTTGAAAGGTAATCGTATAATTAAGTATCATTGCAATATTTTGTAATGAGAAAGTTAACATTCATTAAATCCTCAATGTGCATTTATAATGACTATGAGATGACTTAATAGATGTTTCTTACCACACAAAACACACACACACACACACACACATACGCGCGCGCGCGCGCACGTTATGATTTTTAATCTAATTTTTAAGAAAAATAATACATCCGCGCTTACATAATCACCTTGATCGATCCTACATCTTCAGATCACATATGCGATACAGTACTTGTAAATAAAAATAAATAAATTACAACAAACACATCGAATAGTTGTGTAATAAAAAAAAGTGATGCTGAAAGAAGTGAGATATATATTTTTGCTATATTGACAATTAGACTTTGTTTCGACAATTAATTATTGATTTACAATGTGGCTTCCTTTCTATCCCTCTTCGATAATTGATAAGATTTCGATGAATATTACATTCGTCGTATTATAATCATTACATCTGTATATACACGCACGCATGCACAAACGCACAAGGTGTTCAGCGTCCATACGATTTTTTAAACATTCCCGACAGTTAAGGGGATCCTACAGCCATCTGTATTATCAACTAATCGATTTAATATTTGTATAACAACTATTTTTTGCTTCATTTACAGATTCAAAAATTCTTTTCTAAGATTAAAATATATACGTCTGTGGAGTTCATACTGAAAATGATAAAAAATTTTAAAATTGAGATCTTTTTACTATTTCTTATAGTTCAATACACAGATTATTTAAGCTGTCTAGACTAGAGTTGTCACGTTGTGACATTTGATTCATATAAAAGCTGTACTTACGAAATGGCAGTCCACAGACTAATAGTTTGTACGAAAAAACAACGTGAAGTTCTTAGAATTGGACTTACAAGGAAAGGCCCAACTCGAACATTCAGAAAATTATGAAACTTTAGCAATACACAGAAAGTATCCTGACATGTAATAAATAATTTTTTTTGTTATCCCAATTCACTCTGAAGGGCTAAAATCAATCTTTGAAAATTGACTTTTTCAAAACCCACTTTTCGTTTTTATTTCGTTATTATTTACCAACAACGAGAGAGATAGAAAAAATTTATTTTAATAAAATTTATTAATTAGGAAACTTATTAAATTTTTCTGTGTGCGCCATTGAAGACAGGCCTGGAAATTTCAAGTTTTACCATAATTCTATGACTTCTAAAGAAGTCATTGTATGCTATTTCCTGGCAGTTTTTTCTTTTCCTTAGAACAGTGCTCTGATTGAATTTAAAATAGATATTAGGAAAATGTTATTACAAAATGGTAACAATGTAAATAACGTCAATTTTTGTTTTGAAAATTAGAGTTTTTATGCGTTTACATTATTACCATTTTATAATAATTGTTTAATTATTTATTTTAGGTTTAACTTGTAGAGCAGTGTCCTGAGGAAAATTAGACTAACAAAAAATAGATTATTTCCTTGAAAGTCAGGGGATCATGAAAAGACGCTTGAAATTTTCGAGTTTATCAATATGCTACACACAGAAAATTTTTATATTTTTAATTAGTTTTGTTCTACAAATTAATATTTTCTACGTCTCAAATACAATATAAATAAATAAAGACCATAGTTAAAGTCTTGCTGCCTAATAATATTTATCAAATATAGTAGTAAACAATACTTACATAGTAATAAACGGAGAATTGTTATTTATTCCCTTTTAATAAATTATGCATTTATTCCTTTCTTGAAATAATTTTGCAAATTTTATCTTCAATTTGATCATACAAATCTCTGTTTCCCTTTAATTACATTATTTATGTCATAGCCTGGCAAGATATATTGCATTATTTTATAATGTCAATAAAAGTTAGTCTCTATTAAACGGTCTAGTTAAAAAAAAATATAACGTACAAAGATCGTATCTGAATAAATCTGAAGTGTAATGTTTCGTTCTCTGCAGTCGAGAAATCTTTTCTTTCGCTGAACTAATCAAAAGTATAAGCCATTGTTATAATTGTTATAAATCACGTCGAAAATAATCAGAGGAACTTATGATAGAAGATTTTAATCCTATCAACCTGTTCTTGTGTTAACGTGATAAAGATTCGGACGATCAACATTTAATATTATTTTTAATCTACATCGCTCCTTACGCTATTATTAAATATAATAATTGTTTGATGAGTTCACGTTTACGCATGGGGATAACTTTTTTTTTTATTCAGACTCTTTATCCACAAGGTTATGTACATCGAGGATATTGCGCGCGCTTTCAGGAATGTTGGCGAAATTGAAATCGAAGTGCACACATCCAAATGCGATGGCTCATAATCAAATAATACAAATACTTTCAGTGCGGCACAATAATCGGAAGCTGTTCAGTATTCACATTCTACGACGAAAAGTTTGAATATGACTACATCCGAGGAATTTCATTCGCTTTTTGACATAGTCTTCCTTTTTCCCATCTCACTCGTTAAATATTATTTATATATACAGAAGTATTTTTCTTACAACATATGAATTACAAAAAAAAAATGAAAAAATAAGAAAGAGATTGACAAAGAAACATGTCAATATTACCAAGGCAGCATAATACTTAATAGTATGAGTAATTTTCCTTCTTGAGGACAGATATAATTAGCTCGTGAGCATATAAATAAATAGTATACATCATATATTTCTCCACTATTGTTCTATTAATTCGTTTACCAGCATACAGTTACCGTAAAATCAATCGTCAAATCGAAATTTTACTGTAGTAAATTTAATGTAAACAAAAAACGTGACAAACGATGCTGATCAGAAATATTTAGTGGACTCACATCCAGAGACAAATCTATTTTCTTATATGACTACGTTACAAAATTCGGTTATATTAAAGCTTATCGAAATTTATATTATCGATTATATATTGTATATAGATGCTTATCTAACGGAACTCAATTCTTTACAGTAGAAAAATGAATTTGCCTCTAGATACATCTTTATTTTATATACAGCAGAATCCGTTTTAATTCTTAATAGCAACTCAATATTTTGTAATAGTGTTCTTTTTTCTTTCAGAAATCAAAACGAAATAATTGTAAATAAGACTGTGACAAATATAGGAGACCTACGGACATAATATGAATAGACGTAGCACTATCTATCGTCCCCTAGAATAATATGCCAACAAATAATAGGATTACGATAGAATAGAAAATAAGAATCCTTTTTTCATGCAAATTGTTTGATAAGATACAGTAAGCTAAGTCATTAATATAATAATATTGAAAGAAATTCCAATGAAGCTGTATTTGATTGTGTGCATTCTAATGATAGTATATTTTTGCACAAGTGTGTTCGCTGTTTTCGAATTAATTTAAATATATAAGTATAATTGTATTCGAAATATATTAACATTGGAATGAAATACTGTTTCGTAATTCTAAAAATTATTAAATTTTATTTTATTTTTATGAATTTATAATCTGATGTGAAAAGACTGATATATACATAAATATTTTATCATTCGCCTTATTATTTCACTTAAAATTGTAATGTTATGTGAAGAGACAGAATTGCATTCTTTTTTCTGTTTTGTCGTAATTCTATCATAAGCATCAATGTCAGGGATGCATTGCTTCGTTTATTCCTACTGTGTCTAGAAAAATACTATGTGGCGTACAATGCGTATGTCATGAAATTAAATTAGGCCAAATGCAGCGACAATACTTCGTTCATTTCAATTTTCATAAATTGAATATTATAAAGTCTATTTCGCTTTTAACATCTTTTAAATTGAAACATTTAAGATTTTCAATTTCTTTGAACCTTCGTAAGTTGTAATTGATTTTTATAGATCTTTTCTAAAATTGAGATACAGATTAATTCTTACAGCTTTACAACTTTTTTTTTAATTGAAATTTAATTTATAAGAACAACGGATATCAAAGATTATATCATAGTTAATAAGTATTTAAGATTACATTCTAGAAACGGTACACTGTGTAATTTTTCTCTCACTTCTAAATCTTAATTCATCAATTGACGTTTTCTATAAAGAAATTCCTTAAGATTTAACGCAATAGCTTTCGTATTTGTCATTGTTTCTTCTGTTATGTACGCGCGATTTATCGCAAAACATACATACACAGGGTATGCCAGAAATCGCGCATTATTTTTGAAAATGTTTAGAATCATATTTTGAGATTTATGCAATTTTCTATTCAATATTAAGTCTTCGACATATATTTGACATACGAAACTTGAGCTATTTTATTTCCCAAGAGAGGCAAAAGAAAATACATTGAATACATGTTAAGAATTAGTTATTAGAATGATATTAATCATATTTGGCGACATTAATATCTAATATCCGATCGATCACTTAAAAAAAAAAGATATCTCAAATATTTTGACTTTATGATATTGCCCTCGCTCTTGACAAAAAATGCGCGACTTTCAGGACCAAACTATCGTATGCACATCATTTATGATTTCACGTTCGCATGTAGCTCAAACGACTCACTTCAAATCTAGCTCGACTTCTGGACTCTCGAGTGTGAACGGTTTTAGATTTTCAACGATAGGCGTTTGGTCCGGATCGATGCGGATGCGAATCTTGTTGGTGTCCAGGGAACGGGGCAGTGTGCGCGGTAGATCATCCTTGTAAGAAGCCACCGCCGACGATGTGTACGTAGGCGACGTGTATGGCACGTAAATTCGCACTACGTCTGGGCTGGGCTGATGCGGTGTCGCCCGCGGTGTGGGCAGACCGCCACTGCCCGAGCTCCCATTCGAGATATTACTCTGGGTGTCCAGACTGTTGTCCAGGACCTGGGAACGTGTCACCGAGCTGAATACCGATAAATCGGCCGTCGACGTCACCGACGTCTCGGCTAACGACCGACGAGAACCGTTGGGAGATGCGCCCTCATCGAGACTCGGATCAAAGGAGAATTTACTTCCTACGAACAGAGAGATTTCATTAGAGAGATAAGATGAGTGGTACGGTTGTGGGATACATATATACATGCATCAATGATTATTGTGATATAAAAATTTTATATCACATATATACATATATAATACACATACATATAAAGTAAGTAAAAAGTCCTGGACCGATGAAAAATATCTCGAAAACAAAAGATTTTTTAGAAAAATGATTCAAATAAAAGTTGCAGAGTTTAAAAAGATCTATTTACTGATTACATCTGTTTGAGTGGCGTTAGATCAAGGGCACATCGATTTTTTTTTAACACCTATTTTTTATTTCAAAATCTAATAGCTGACCTCGTGAGCTTTCCAAAACACTTTAATAGAGTTTTTTAAATCAGTACTTATTGAGTTATCGAACTTGAAAGTTACAGTACCGCATCCAAGATGCATTAAGAATTTATTTTTACACAAAAA